CCCCCCCCCCCCCCAAGCCCAAGGGTAATGTGTTACACCAAAGTATCTTGGCAGTAGCATTTTATTCATGGTATCAACAAGGAAAATCAGTTTCACCATGACAATTTGAGATATAAATTTGTGTTTCATAACTCAATGAATTTGCTCTTCTAGCAACTGGATGGCATCAGGTCTACAACTAGAGAGCTAAGTCTGTAAATGTCATATTCTGCCTTGTTTTTAGCAGGTTCTTCTGCTCAGTAGAAATACTGATATAAGGAATCCCAAAGTCTGGTGGGATCCTTTCAAAGTCTCAGCTGTGCAACAATGGAGAACGCTGCTGAACTCCCAGAATCCCAACATGAAAGATGAGCTTTTGGGAGTTGTAGTTCAAGAAAGCAAATCTCTTCACCTTTGGTTTTGTGCTACTTTGGAGCAGAGTTTGGGCGATAGAGTTCTCCTAGCTTTCCTAAATGGGGGTTTGGGATTATATTTAGTTGTTGTCCCTCTAATAAAGAAAGGTATTCACCAAAGGAACAGAGAGCAGCTCCCCACTGCCATGCGCCTTTCCAGACTGTTTGAAAGGCTCTCCCCATCTCTGAAGAAGATTGGGAAGATGCAGGAACAAGGAGGAATGTCTGGCTATCACCTTACCTCCATATTGATGAATGATGTAGAGCGATATGCTGCCAAGACACCATTCTTCGTGTTCTTCTGTGTCACAGACTCCTGAACTTTCAGCCACAAGCTACAAGTAGACTACTGAATACATTCAGCTAAGGTGCCCTTACAAGGCCACAACGAAACCTTTTGGGGGTCCTTTTACTACCTCTGAGACATTCCAATATACGGAAAGAGACCCCAAAAGACCAGGGTATACCAGTCAGCAACTCTAAAAAAAAAATAAAAAAAAATCCAATGTTCCTTTTCTTAGGAAGAAGATTTTTTTTTGTAAGAGATCTAAAAATAATTCATAGCATTTTTAAAAAAAGAGGTCTTCTGAATATCCTAAGAAATGTTCTAACTCACTCATGGGCAGAGAAGTGTACCGAGTAAGAGTCAGACTGATATTTTTGAATTCTCCTTTATTCAGCAGACTTATACTTGCTATATAAAAATTAAAAAAAACCCATCATAAATGGGGATGTGATGTATTAAAAAAGAAAAAGAAGGTGAAAAGTCATTATTATGTCAAAGACAATGAATAAAGAACTTTTAATTACATGTTTGAAGACCATAATCAAAAAGCTTTTGCTAATTTGATATCTATTGCCATCAAACTATTTTAAAGGTCTGCCCCCTCCCCCACAAATAAAGGTTGGAATCATTTCTTTTTCACATAATTCTTGTTAATCTACTTGAAAAGCGTTTTTCGTTGTCACTTTGTCATATTTATGACATTCTATTTTTTCCAAGTTAACCAGTCGGCAATACTGTATTCTTTACCAAAATATGCTTCCCTCTAGTGGCACATTTACATAATGACAGATAGTTCTGATATGTTGTAAATCAGCTGCGTCTGTAGTAAATCAGCTTCCTCTTTAAATAATTGGAAATAAGGTAAAGATAAAGGTTCCCCTTGACAATTTTTGTCCAGTCATCTTCGACTCTAGGGGGCAGTGCTCATCCCTGTTTCCAAGCCATAGAGCCAGCGTTTGTCTGAAGACAATCTTCCGTGGTCACATGGTCAGTGCAACTTAGACATGGAACGCTGTTACCTTCCCACCGAGGTGGTCCCTATTGATGTACTCACATTTGCATGCTTTTGAACCGCTAGGTTGGCGGGAGCTGGGACAAGCGATGGGCGCTCACTCCGTCGCATGGATTCGATCTTACGACTGCTTGGTCTTCTGACCCTGCAGCACAGGCTTCTGCGGTTTAGCCCACAGCGCCACCACGTCCCCAATTGGAAATAAACCTTATGACAATTATCTTCTCTGTTGAGTTTGTGTGATTGTGGATTAGCACTAAAACTGAAAGCTTCTAAACTTGGGAAGTTCTTGCTGCCTAAACTCTGCTCTCAGTGCAAAGTAAAATATGTCCATGAATGTGTAAAATTAAAAAGCTCAGAAAACCAGAGGTTTTATCCCACTTTAATATTAATAACAATAATCTTAGAACTGCAGAGCTGGAAGGGACCCTATGGATCATGGAATCCAGCCCCTGTCAAGGATGCACAGAGAGGAAAATAACACCCAATCTCTGGATCCACAGCCAGATGCCCAAACCACTGCACTATCTAGCAATGGTCACTGTTGTTACTGACACACATTTTGTATCACCTGGACAACAGAAAAAAGCACCAGTAACAATGACACACAGTTATGTGCAAAATGGGAGACGAAAGATCTGTCTAGAGAAAGCCTCAGATACATTAGCATACACCAGTCCTCTTAAAGATAGAGTGTATATTTAGGTAGCACAGTATCTTAACAGGTCTGCTTGTAACAATGTGTTTTTGCAGTAAGTACCATTACTTTCAGAGAATTCAAAAGTTCAGGTTGTGGCACCTGCTGTTACGGTTGCCTCGCACTCTCTCCAGTTGTTTTCTGGCTGTTTCTCTTTGTTTACATCTCTGCCCATCTGTAGTACCAATCACCATGTACAAGGGTATCTATTATTATTATTTATTTAAAGATTTATATCCTGCCCTATATCACAGGATCTTGGGCCAGGTTACAAAACTGTATAAAACAATTTAAAAAAGAGAAAATAACACAAAATTAAAATATGCAGACATTAACAACGTAGCATGAAAACCTGTGCAGGTCATGTTCCTCAAACTCCCAAAGACTCTAATAAATAAGTACATCTTGACTTGCTGAAATTATGCCAATGTCAGAGTCATTCGAGCCTCCAAGGGGAGGGCATTTCACAGTTGGGGTGTGACAGCAGAAAAAAGTCCTCCCTCGTGTCTCCACACAGTGGTTCTCAATGGTGGGACACAGAGAAAGGCCTCCCCAGCAAACCGTAGTGATTGGGCAGTTTTAGAGAGAGAGAGAGGCGCTCCTTCAAATATCAAGGTCCCAAGCCATTTATGGCTTTATGAGTCCTTGTCAACACTTTGAACTCTGACTGGAAACGTCTTGACAGCCAGCACAAATCCTTTGGAATTGATGTCATGTGGGTTCTGACTGAGGTTCCTGTTAGCAGTCTAGCAGCTGCTCCGTACTGCACTTGCTGCAGCACTCATGGCATCTTTAAGGACAGCCCCACTTAGAGTGCATTGCAGTAGTCTAACTGGGAAGTTCCCACCCACATGGACTACTTTGGCAAGTTTATCCCTGCTCAGGAATGGTCATAGCTGGTGGATCAGTGGAAGCTGACCCCGGGATCCCCAAGTAACTGAGCTTATGTGAGCCTCCAATGGCAAAGATGGACCTAGGAGTACCTCCAAACTATGCACCTGCTCCTTCAGTGGGAGAATGACTCCATCCAGAAAAAGTCTCCTGTTCAACTCCCAGACGTGGGAAACACCAAACCACAGAGCCTCCATCTTCTCAAGATTCAGATTCAACTTGCTGGCCTTCATCCAAGCCATTACAGCTTCTAGATATTGGTCCAGCTGGCCAATGTCACCACCACCACCAGTGCTTGTACCTTTTACATAGCTTTGATAAGTAGGACTCCAGAAATCTGGGGTCCCATCAAAAACTCTGCTAAAATAATGCAGTAATTTTGAAGTGCTTCTAAGGACAATCCTGAGACTTTGCAACATCACCCAGCACTTTGCGTCTGAGAGGTTTGTTGAATGTATGTATTATATTTGCTGTCATGTTATGTTGTTAATGTCTGCATGTTTTAGTTTTGTGTTATCTTCTGTTTATCTTCTCTTTAAAATTATATTTGTTGAATTTATATATTATTTTATTTTTTATCATGTTTTGATATTGTGTTGTTTATCTTGTTAGCTGCACAGAGTAGCCTGGTTGCCAGATGGCGCCGGGTATAAACAAACAAACAAACAAACAAACAAACAAACAAACAAACAAACAAACAAACAAACAAACAAACAAACAGGACTTGGTGGATAGTTAATATTTCTAAACCCTGTATTGTCTTTTGGACCCCAAACATACACCAATGCTTTTCTATAGTCTAGCCAGATTTTGCACTCAAAGCCTTAATTGGCCGCAAACTGTACACAGCACCACTTGGGAAGTGCGACCAGGGGGCCTGACCTGTTCCTGCCTTTTTAACAGTAGCTTAATGGTCAGAAAGCTGGAGATAAAGCCATTGTTAAAACAGGGCAGAGCCCCACTGAGCCATTGGCAAGCACAAGCATGCTTTTTCAGGTAGAGGGTAGTAAAACTTCTCCCTTCTCTATCCTAGGGCTTTGGGTGAATGGGAAAAATGACAGGAATGAACGGTAATCGAAATTGTCCTCCTCTATTGTCTCATCAGTGCCTTCAGGGAAGCACCCTGGATGGAAGATAAGCTTATCAGTGTTTACTAGTGGTGGTACTTACCTGAGAATGTGGGTTGTGGTGAAAATAATGGTTAAGGGGGAGGAGAGTCAGGTACACCCACTTTGAGCTCATTTGAGGGAAAGTAGGGTATAAATGTAACAAATAAATGGAATCTGGGAGTTGAGTCATGGCAACTGGACTTCTTTCTTATTAGGTTGAAATGTTTCACTACTCGTCCAAGTAGCTTTTTCAGACTTGGATGAGTAGCAAAACGTTTCAACCTAATAGGAAAGAAATCCAGTTGCCATGACTCAGCTCCCAGATATCCTCATCTGGATGGCTGAGAATCTTCACAGAAATAAATGGAACGGACAGTTCAGTATTACTTCAGCACTGGTGTGGCAGGAGAGCATCTTGCATCACATCTGAAGAGAATCTGATGGGTTAGCAGGGCTCAGGAAAGCTGTATAGCACTCTTGGTTCTGTCCACCAGTGGAACGGCCATCAAAATGTTTCAAGAAGAAGAGGGCAGGGTGGAGAACTGCCCTGCTGCTCTGTGGCAGATGATACCCAGGGCCTAAGGGCCTTCAGGGGTGGGATGTCATCTCATTCTGACTAATGGTAGAGCCGTCATATATTGTGGCTCTAACTGCAGCAAATAAGTTCATGGTTTGAAAAGACTTTGAACAGTTTAAACATTTTCCCCATCTCTCTCTCTCTCTCTCTCTCTCTCTCTCACACACACACACACACACACACACACACACACACACACACACAGAGAGAGAGAGAGAGAGAGAGAGGTCTCCTCCAGATCAAGCATTTGTCCTTCACCTGCCATCCTGCTTTTATGCCACTTGGTACTGTTTGGTAAGGAAAGAATGTGGAGCTTACCAGGTTTTCTTATTTTGAAACCCCACTTCTTCCTTTAAGAAATCATTTTCCGATTTACAATCCTCCTCCCACCCCTACTAGCACAGAAAATGCCCTCTGTCATCTACCATTCTCAACACGAACCTCATGCATACTTGATAAGAGGTCCTACAGGTTGATTCATCTCTGGATGGTTGATTCATCTCTGGATTCAGCACTCAAGGCAGGAAATCAGATGAAGTGTCTGTCCATTGATAGATGCTGCAGGTTTCAACATCTTAGCCTCTCTTCTCCTTTTTAGTTTCCTTTTTTTGGTGGTCCTTTGGCTGTAACAGGAAATGCGCTGGCAAGCTTTCCCTCACAACTGTATGTTGACCATTAGAAGGATAAGTGGCACGGTGGAGTCCCGTTCACCCACTGAGAGAGCTAGGACTGTCTTCCCCACTGGTCACTGCTTGCCTCATTGGCTTCGACCTCTCTTAAATCACTCCACAGGGAACAGTTAGCTTTCATTTTCTTCCCTCTGTTTGGTCAAAAAACAAAACAAACCCTTAAAAGTGACCTTATATCATCATCATCATTCTTACTCTTGTTTCTCAGTGTTGCTGGTGCATGGGGTCAAACCTAAAACCTAGGAATTGAGTCCTAAGAATTTGTGGGTGAGATGACCTGCTTCCAAAATCCCTGATTTTTAAGTTTCAGGAAGCAAATTAGCAGCTATAGGCAATTGCTTGAAATTGGTAGCCAAATATATTGGAACAACTCCAGGCACTGAAGTAGGATGAGGAGGTCGGGAACTTGATCTTGTTTTCATGTTCTTTTAGTGTCTTGTCTTCATGTGTGGTATTATTGAGACTGCTTGTTGATGGAACCCAAGTTCTAGAAGTTATTGTTGTCATTCTTATTGCTCATTTAACAGTAAATTATCAATAAAATCAAAAGCCTCTGATTTAAGCTCTTGCTTCCTCAACTCCAACCCCCAATGCAAAGGAAATTTCTTTAAAACAAAACAACAACCCCA